TCTTTCTTTCTTTCTTTCTTTCTTTCTTTCTTTCTTTCTTTCTTTCTCTCTCTCTCTCTCTCTCTTTCTCTCTCTCTCTCTCTCTTTCTTTCTTTCTTCCTTCCTTTCTTTCTTTCTTTCTTTTGGTTTTTCGAGACAGAGTTTCTCTGTATAGCCCTGGCTGTCCTGGAACTCACTCTGAAGACCAGGCTGGCCTCGAACTCAGAAATTCAGCTGCCTCTGCCTCCCAAGTGCTGATATTAAAGGCGTGTGCCACCACTGCCTGGCTGGAGTTACTTTCTTAATCATACTGCTACAGATGACTTTTTTTTTTTTTTACATGCAGTTTCATAGGGTTTGGCTCTTGATCACTTGTTGTTTGCCATCAGCTGCCCACTGTTTTGTATTAAGAGGTTCTATTTTACTTGCTGTGTATTTGTTTCATTGAGTCACCTTGCTAGGTCGATACTGATGACTGAGTCTGCCTCAACCCCTGTTCTGCATGTTGAGCTGTGGAGAAAGACAGATAAAAGGATCCAACTCTCCCTAGAGCCCTAAAGCAGTGGCTAAATACTTAAAAATAGGTAAATGGACTGGAGAGACAGTTCACCAGTTAAGAGTGCTTGTTGTTTTTGACGAAACCTCGGGTTTTGTTCTAGCATTCGTAAGGTGGCTAAGGACAGTCTTACAGTTGAAGGGCGTCTGGCGCCCTTTCTGGCTGCCTTTGGTACTGCATGCATGTGGTGCACAGGTACACTTGCTTGCAAAACACCCACACAGAAAATAAGCTGTAAAAATTGTTAAATGCTCTAAAGTGTTGTTAAATGCTGCTTAAAAGGTTTTGTGTTGAATGTTAAGTCTTTATTGTAAACACCTTCTTGTCCCGATGTCAATAAGTAAAAATTCAGCTCTTTGAAGGACAAGTAGACGGGGCAGCATAGAGTGAAGGACTGTCAGCTAAGCAGCCCCTTCCCCAGCAACTTGCTGGAATGCCTTCAAGTCTGGCTGTTTTGCGTACTTTCCAATCAATGGGAAAATACTCCAGCAGCAAGCTAATCTACTGCAATTGAATCCAGGATACCTGATCCAGGAAGCCTTGTTCTGGCCACACCCACTCCAGTCTGCGCCAGTCTCAAACAAAGGCTAAAGCCCAGTTGCTTTTTTCATAACCCAGTGAACTTTCAACAGCTATTCTCCATTCAAGATGACAGGGAACACTTCCTTAGAAGAAACCAGTGATCGGAGAAGTGTGAAAACTGTTGACCAGTCTTCATGCAAAACTTGTGACCGCTTCCTATATGAGCCTGTGTGGCCTGAGGAAATAAAGAGTCCCTCGTTTGCATACCACACATCCTGGCTGTATAACCAGATTAGTCAGTTCAGATGTTTTAAAATTAGTTGGGGACACCTTCCTATGCTGTTTCTTGGGGATGTAATATTAGGCTCAATAAAAGCCTCCAAAATGGTCTTTTTTTCTGTTGCCTACCTGGGATTTTTAGTGTATGTAGTGAGGGGGTGAATGATATTATGGTAATAGCGGCGAGAGGGTGGCTTAAGAGAACTAGAAATGAAAGTGTGTGTGTATGTGTGCACGTGCGTGTGTATATGTATGTATATGTATGTTTATACATATATGTATATATATGCTCCCCCCCCCCCACTCTGGGAATAGCTCCTTCAAAAATCCCATTAAGGTTCCCAACGTGTCAGATCTATGCTTCCCATGCCCCAAGGTCATCTCAAGGACTGAGACACTGCCGGAGCTCCTTTTTGGTCAGTACCAGAGTGCTTCCAGGGTTATTGTGAAAAGCAATAAGCAAACACACTTTAAGGCCGGCGAAAAATGCCAGAGTTTGCTGACACCATAGCAAGAACGACGACAGGGTGAAGCGTGCCAGCAGAGCTCCTGAGGAAGGAGAGGCTGGACATCCGGGAGGGGGGTCACCTGGGCGACATTGAAGTCGGCTCGCAGTGGGGGTTTGCACACATCCCGAGGCGCCTCTGTCCAGCTCCCCCGCCCGCCGCTCCTCTCGCGCCCCCAAGGGCAGAAAAGCTCAATGCTTCTCCGACGTGGCTTATTGGCCAATGGAAGCGAGGCTTTAAAGTTGCTGGGCGGGGCCGGCCCGGCGTACCCGCGCGAGCGGTGCCCCGCCCCTCAGCCGCGCACGCGCGTCCCCGGCGCGCTCCCGGAGC